AAGCAATGGTCACACAGCCCCATGTGCAGCAGGACTGCTGCAGGTATTTATTGTGGTGTGAAGTGTAAAACATGGCCAAGCACTTGAAACAATTAGGAGCTCATTGGAAATTAATTTCTGTTGACAGTGCTGGTGTGGGCGGTGGCCGTGTAGTTGTTGAGGGTTGACAGTGTTGACATACTCAAGCCGTGCATTTGCCTTTTCAACTGAAATCCAAAGAAACTTAATTAACATATGTCGTATAGTTCGGTGGCCTTTACACGCGTATAGGAATCCAGTACAGGAAAATGTGGCCAAAATCCTGCAACCGTGAGATGCTGTGTCCAACTGCTGTTCCTGAATGATAGTAAAAGTGATTCCTCAATTGAATTTTACTAATTGTTCCTCTTCTCCGCAGGAAGTATCTCCCGGGCCGACTTGACTTTTGAAACTCGAATACATTGAGATACAGAAACGTTAAATGAATTTAATTTCGTCCTTATCGGAAATCGGTAGTTCGTCATGTTGCTCTTCGATGTTACTTTTTGGCACAGACATGCCTCTGTTATGGACAACACCTCTACATTTCCGTACTAAAATTATGTAATAATTACTTGTGTGTCGGCAAGTTGTCTATGGTTTTTCTAGGATTCTCATGACATCTCTTTCTAACTCGAATTTGCATGTCCCACATGCGGTTCGCATTTGTAGTAATTTTGTACCCCAGGCCGAACCCTTCTAAAATGTCCAAAGAATAGCTCTCAACTTTTAATCTAATAAATTCTCTCTGCGTGGAAAGTTATGTAGATCAAGTGGTGAAAAGATTCCAACGCCTTGCTACAGGAACTAAAAAATACCTCGAATAAATATTTCTGAACTAATGCGAGGCATTCCATTCTTGATTAAGCTGTGGAAAAGACGAACATATCAAAGGAATTGAATGACGTGAGCAGAAGTTGGGCTATCTCGAGGAATATTGATATCAAGGAACTCAATATGGATAGCTAACCTTGTCAATTGTCTCCACTAATAAATAAAGGTGCTTTTATGAGATTTTGATGATTTTGCAAGAACAAAATAACTTCGGCATCCCAAATCAAATACCAACACTACTCTAAGTAGCGAACATAAAACCTGAGTGGAAGGCTTGTCATGGTTATTCTTTTCACGAGTTGAATGGGTCAAAGTGTGCCACGTTTAGTCCAAAATCAATTCAGATAATATCGGTTTGGTTTGGTTTCGTACTTCGAAAAAATACAGAAACGAACGGTTGGAAACGTGTCCAATAGTTTGTTTTCGTTCGCTGGCTATAGCACCCTTTATATATGAATGTTTCGTTTCCATCGAATCGATCATAACAAATTGATAGGTGTATGATACTATAGCCGATTACACGTTGTTGTACAATACTCACACTCACACTTACACATTTCATATGTTCCTTGTGTTTCGACAATTGTAATAAGCCCAGCATAACCAGCACGGCGACGTAGTACATTTTGCACAATTTACAAAAACTCCGTCATAATCCAATCTATCTACGATATATACAAGATTTTATTGCTGTTTTGTTTTAAACAAGTTACATAACATCATCGTAGGCCTCGCACCAGTAATGAACGTAGAAATCGAGATATCGTTTAGCTTAACTTTTGAGTAAAGAAGTCGATGCACGGATTATAGTGGTAGTAGTAAGAGGTATATAGCATTTTAGTTATATCCAGAAGCACTGTTATTCGAACACGTGGACCTGATTGGTTCTTCTTTCCTCAAACACAATGTAAGTTTGCATTGATCAATCAAGGCCTGAGTCAGCCTATGATGTATATATTTCTCTTGTGTTTTTTTCCAATGAGGCTGTATAAAAATCTGGTTCTCACATAAGGGTCATTGTAAATTGTGGATTCCGGTATTCCAATCTACATATATTAGAATGTGCAACATATGAGCCGATTGTTAATGGTGACATGTCCGTATAGCGAAATTTTTCAAAAGTAACTAACAATTTCAAACGTTCATACTTCTGATATTTAGGGGCAATGTTGGAATTATGAATCGCAAGTGAGGCGCTGTGCAGAGTGAAAACTAATTTAAGTTTCTTAGCACCATTTTTCTGTTTCGAAAAATAACATCCCCACTGCTGAGTTATTCAGTCAAGTTCGCTTCAAACGCTACACCTGTACAGGCGTTGTGTGTTGCCATTGCTGCGAATGGCTCTTATACTCTTCGCATCGAATGCCAATTGTTCTGGCGATATTTACTTCTTCAGAGTCTTTATCTGAAGAAGATGCAACTTGTGTATGAATGGAAACTTATTGTTGCTGCACTCTTTTGTTGGTGGCGCTGATTATTTGAATGTTTCGCGGTGCTTATCCATTGAATTGGAAATGAGCATGTGAGCCAGGCGGGGACGCATTGCAGCGGTGATTCCGAGCCCCAGTGGCGTCGATAGCTGAGGAATGAAGCCACCAACGCACAATTTTTTTAGTCGGCTGTTGTTCCGCGATTGCTATTGTTGGCACTGTACATATGGATGTGTATGTACATATGTGTATGTATACATGCGTGCATATGTACTGCCTTCTTTTGTTGAGCTACAAGGGTTGTTGTGCAACAATGCTGTTGCATTGTTAAGCAATCTTACGAATGAGCCGATGGGCCTTAGCAACTTTGGCAGAAATATTTTTCTTCTTCTTTTTTTGAATTTGGTTCGGTCTTTGTAAGTGCAATGTCTGTTGCTTCATTTGTTGCATCGAGTCTGCCTTTGTTACTGCAGTTTACGGCAACAATTGGATACCATTTTCAGTTTATTGCGCCGAGCCAGTTCGTCTGTCCACTTCCTTTCTGCACCAGCGTCTTGGCATGCCAACGTTCATGTATTCTCCTGTATCCTGTTGTGAATAATGTACGAATCGGCAAGGAGTGGGAGTAAAATTCAATTTAAAT